GGGGTGGGGATGAAAATTGAAGTGGAAAAACATGATGTAAAATAGGCGACAGGTCAATCAAGTGTCTTGCCCTCTCTTTTATTCCTATTGTGTCATCTCCATAAAATTTTGTCAATATTTTTGTTTCCTCCTGTCATGACATTGAGTTGATTTGTGGCATGAAATTTGAAGTGTTTTGAGTTTCAGGGGCAATTCACCACCCCTCACAGGACCTTAGTTTTAATATTTCTATAGAAACACTTGTTAGTAATATCAGCAATAATTCAGATGACATTTATGGTTCCTATCAGATGTGACAGTTGTTAGATATTACTTATTAGGGGTTTAGACCTTCCCCAGGGGGGTGATGTCATACTCCTCACTGTGTGAAGTTTTGGGGTGGGGTGGAGGTGATGAGGGGGTGAGGGAAGTTTTTAATCCCATCCATGCGTCTACTGGCTAATCCTTGTAGCTTGTCCTTAACTATTTATGATACATTTCAAACTTGCACAAAGGACATCCAAACAACCAAAATGATAAAATCAGTTTAAGGCAAACCCAAATATTTTTAAACATCATCATAGTTCAAGAATTTTTTGTTTGTTGTTTTGGTTCAGATTTTAATCATGTAATCAGCAATATACTATCCCAAAATAACTATTTCTAAAATTAATGATTGTTTCAGAATTGGGGTATTTTGACTCAATAACTTGCCTAGAAAACAAACAGATAAAACAATACTGGGCTAGGTAAAATATCAAGTCTATGTTAACAATACTTTATCTTTTGTTTTATAATTTTAAAAGGAAAACTCTGAAATATTAAGTTTATAAGTCAATTGGTAATAGTACTTATTCTGTTTTAAAATTTGGGTCATTTTCTAAATTGATTAAGTAAAGTAAAACTTACTTTAAAAATCTGAATCAAGAATATTTGACATATAAATGAAAATTGAATCAACTTCAGCTTCTAATATTAAGGTTAGTGCCAGAAGAAGTAAGCTATCAGGATTGACTTGAAGATATTTTAACAACTCTTTTATTTCAATGCCAAGCCAGAAAATATCAAAAGAATGGAATTTTAATTCAGCTTCTTTAATTTCATGAGGTCTAAAATTTCCTATCAAAATAATTCCAAACTTTATTTTATTCATAACGTGAAGACGAAAATCTCAAATTTCAAAAACATCGGAGAAAAGCTGTGAAGTTTGTTAATTATGAGGTGAAAATTTCAATAAATTGAAAAGTTGAATGAAATATAGGGGTAGAAGATTGATTAAATTATCTTTTCTTGATTCTAGGGTCAGCTTTTAACAACCAAAAATTAATTTAATAAAAATATTCGTATAATATCTAATTTACATATCCGTCGTTTCAGGACATCATAATTTAACGTCAAGAGAGTATCAATTTAAAAATCATTTTTTACGTCATTGTTCGCGAAGTATCGGATAACAACTAAGACGACTTTCTGTATTGTTATAATTTATCGTCAAAATTAAAGTAACAAAAATTTTGAAATTTAAAAAAGCGCCATCTGCTGGAAGTGTATAGATATAATAACTAATTCAATGTCAGTCAATACGAAGAAGAATGGTGTATTTTTTTCACCATTATTCAAAATTTCAACTCCAATTTCTCGCCTCTTTCACGTTTAATTACTACAAATATCGGCAGAAATTTTCTATTAACTTGAGCGATGATGAGAGAAAACAGCGAGCCGGGTCCCCTCACCCCCGGGGCTAGATTGGGATAAACGAGTCTCGATTAATAACATCATTTCTTAAACAAACATTCATCTGGGGTCCTTTCTCTCCTGCCTGATGCCAGTGTTCAGCCTGTGTTTATTTTACAGTAGCTTTGTAAGTTATTTAACACGGTAAAAAGGGGCTCAAATCTCTCATCAGCCCCTGGGGGTATTTTCACAATCTCAATGTCAAATTATCCCAATATGTGAACAAAAACTGAAAAATTATAACAAGCTAGAAAACCTGTCATTCATTCAGATATTTCCTTCACTTTTTATATCTTAAAATACTCCTTTGTTCATCTTGCATAATGTTATTTTAATAAAACCCTTTCAAGGCCCCACAAAGCTATGACTTGAGTCTATATGTGAAGTAATATCCCCTGTTTCTATTGTATTTTGAGGGTCATTAAGGGATGATTATTTGGTGTAAGAAAGAAAATTAGGGACCAAGAAAATGATATTCATTATAACTTGATGATATCTCAACCTACTTTCTTTTGTGCTTCACAAAAACTTTACTTTTTCTTTGTCAGTTCAACCCTTCATCTACAAATTATTACTGACTTAAAACATTGCTTAGTGTGGTTTGATATCTAGATGATATGTTAGCTATGTGGACTCTCTAGAAGGGCAAGATTGTCAAATATGTCGACTCTCTAGGAGGGCAAGATTGTCAGATATGTGGACTCTCTGAATGGGATCTCACTGTAAGCTATGTGGACTCTCTGAAAGGGATGTTACATGAGCAATGTGGACTCTCTGAATGGGATCTCACTGTAAGCTATGTGGAGTCTCTAGAAGGGAATGATGGACACTCTAAAAGGATTATCATTAGTGATGTAATGAAATTAGTGTAGTCTACACCACCCCCCCACTCCCCCACACCCTCTCTCCAGCATCACCCCTGAGTTAAGAAAAGGGAAGAGAATAAGAAACTATATCAATATAAGTCTCCCTCCTTTGTTTATTTTAACTTATAAATAACTCTCTATTATTATTTCAACTTCACAAAATAATTCTTAAAATATGATTCATAATCTCTTTACACTCCCCAAAATACATCATCTGACCTCTGACCTGACCTGACCCTATTCCTGACCCCCATGTTAGCTCCTGAATATTTTATATTCTGACACTCCAAATATAATCATATATAGATATAATATCTTATTATTTGTTATATGAATCTTTTTAAAGGTGTAGATACTCAGGTAGAGTGGGGGCAGAGAGACTGAAACCTTTTTATCTGCTGGGTGCATTTTTTAATTCTTTGACAAGTGCCCATGGGATCCCCATACCTCCCTCCCTTTCTGAATCAAGCTCCGCTATCTGTTGATCTGTATAGACAGCCTCATTCTAATAGTTTTTCAGTTATAAAGTCAGAGAGGAAATTGGTAAATTAAAGTGTAGGCCTAGTAACATGTATAATAAAATAGTAAATTAATCATGTAAATAAAGATATATAAGTTGTAAGAAATGTGGAAGATATTAAACAATTTAATAATATAGACTAGAGATATAATATAATATTAAAATAACAGGGCATTACAATATCATATATACCAGTATATCTTTATTTCTTATATTCATATGTCTTTATTCAACTTCATCAGGTATTCTTTAAATCAGGTGAAAAATAGGATTATAAATAGTTTAGAGAAAAGATGTGGAAGGTCAATGAAATATTGCTATTTATCATTAAGAATATTGTAGAGGGCAGTACTCGGAGGTGTATATTATTACATTAGAAGAACGTCTGTAGAACGTATAAGATAAAATGATGAATATGTAGGATGGAATAATGACTCTAGTATAATTCAACCTAGACAATGTCTCTATATAATAATGTGAAGTTTATATATTATTTGGACAAGTTTCAAGGTTTTGTGTTTATATTTTTCACTGATGTATTCGTGGGTCTAGCTATATATATATATATGTATTAATTTTACTTTCTACAAACATCCTGTAAACTTTGGCACTCATTGATTTAAATATATTATTCAGAATTCTAGTTTGTCCCAATTTTAGTTTTTTTTCGGTTTAAGTCTGACCCTCAAAATCGATCCTTCTCTCTTACGCGGTCTCCACCCCTCACGGCATGGATGCTGTCAAAAACAACATCCTTGAAGTAAGAATTCAGGAACGAGTGAACGAGTCCAGTTTTAACATATTAGTTTTGGAAATATTAATGTTATCCTCAATGATTTTAAGTTATCTTGTCTGATTTTATTTGCTGTGTTTTTACAATATCAACAAGTAACAATGATCTGTATAAATCTAATATTCCAACAAAACTTTCATATCACCCCTATCTTTCTTGATTTCTACCACAACTGTTTGAAAAATATAAATCTGACTAATTTTATATCATTTGATTCTTCCCCTAAATTTTATAAAAAAAATATCAAATTCTCGAGACAGATGTGAAAAATCATAAAACTCATAAATTTTGAAACCTTTACCACAGGATACATAAAGAAATTTTTAAATCTTAAATTTTATGAAAAGTGCCAATTTTGATAGGTGCCAGAGTTTTGGAGAGAAATTTGCTAGAAATTTGATATTTTGAGATAAAACTAGATATTTTAAACAATTATAAAATATATTTCTTCGCTGCACGTGTTATTTGGAACGTTGTCATGAATCAAATTGGTTTTTAAAATAGAAGAATAAACTAGAGAGTTGTAAAATATCTACTCTTGTCTACGTCTAGTTTGGTTTGGTCTGGTTGGTGGAACTCTGTACAGTTTTTTAAAGTGTGTGGTCTGAAATATAGGAAATATACAGTCTAGAACAGACAAAATTTGTAGTAAAATTGTAAAACAGTTGTAATATATAGGATTGGTCAGATGTCTAAACTGTTGGAAAATTGTTTAATTCTGTAAAACTGTACTTGAATGGGCAGAGTATTTCCTGTGATATTAGGCAATGGTTGCAGCTGGTAATGTCTCATACTTTATTGATAGGTTTAAATATGTTTATAATGAGGAACTGTGGTATATAAATTGTCCAAAAAACATATTCTCAATATCGAGTTGTATCAAAAATTAAGTGCAATCGTATCATTTTATTTCACCAATAAAAATTTTATATATTTTTTATATTTTTGTTGTCTTATCTTTTCTAAGTCTATAAATATTCCTGTAAGTTTTTCTATCAAATTCCTTATTTTATTAGAAATATTCAGTTTGTTTCGAGGTATTTTTTCTGCTGTTTGCCTTTTGTTCTTGACACATCAAAAGTAAGAAATTAAAAGTGAAAAGAGTAAAATGGTGAAAATCGTTTTGGGAGGTAAATAGTTCAGCTGTTTGTTTCTTCAAAATGTCAGAAAATTGTTTAAAATGAAATCTGGATTATTTCAAACATAATATTTGTCTATTTTATCAAATTTTCTTCTCCTTTCTCGTTAATTAACATTTTAACGAGTTAAATCATTTTGCGATTGTGTTTCTGATTTCTGTATCCAATTTCTTATCATTTTAATTCTTTCTGGATCATATTTTACTTGTTTATTTCTTGATTGAATTCTTAATTCTAGTTTTGAGGATGGAATGGAATTTTAATTTGTTGATTTTGGTTTTTGAGCTGATATTTTTAATACGCCCCCCTTCAAGATGTGGCCACCTCATTCCTTGACACAAGATTTACAGACCTAAAACTTAATGACCAACTCCTTCCTTGCTCAAAGTTACTGCCCCACCCCTAGCATTCCTTGTTCTTACAATCTTTATTTAAATCAACAATAGTCTTATAAAGACAGCTAATAATATCTCCCTGGTTGAAAATAGCTAATAATATTAAAGTGGTATATCTATAATAAGTATACAGATTAATTTCCATCAGGAATCTAGTGAGATATAGCAACTCCTTGAACAGGAGAAGAATATTCTCTATTCAATCTTCTATCAAATATCACCAGTTCTATTTAAAATGTTAATTAACATAAAAAACATTCAGAAAACATCAGAACTGTCAAAATGCTTGATTCTGTTTATTTTCAAATTTCTACCATTTTATATTTTATTCACCTTTCAATATGTACACTTTCATGTTTTATTTGTCGAGGGTCTGTTAGGGTTATCTGTTTAACACCTTCTACAACCTGCCTTTAATAAGGTCAATACTAACATGACATGGGAATGTGTTTTTCCCTGCCAGACCTCTCACCTTGCTATAGATATACCTGTTAGAAGTTGGGAGGTGGGTTGTTTGATGCTGGTAAATATGGATACTCGTTAAGAGGTGGGTTGTTTGATGCTGGTAGATATGGATACTCTTTAAGAGGTGGGTTGTTTGATGCTGGTAGATGGCATCATGGACATGGTTTTGAAGGATTGTACTTATATCATGCTTACTCTCTCTGAATACTTGTTAGATAGATGGTGGGGGGGGGGGGGGGGGGAAGGGTTGAAGAAGAATGATGATATCTCTCTGAAACACTGGTCAGTATGAGTCAGTAGGAAGTTAATTTTGGAGGACAAGAAAAAAACGACTTATTGCTTACTACTTGTTTGTCAACTCGGTGTGAAATTCAGTGACGTCCACAACTAATAACATGAACTTATTTGGGCATCATATAAATTAATAATAACATTAATTGAAGAATTGGAGTAGTAATTTAAACTTGAGAAAATACTGCTCTGTGACTTGGTTTTTTAACAACCTAAATTCAACAGCACTTCAATGAACTTATTTGGGCATCACATCATATAATAATAATAATAGAGACATCATTTGAAGAAAGAGAAGTGATAATTTAAACTTGCAAAGAAAATGAGTCATTGTTTAAAACAATAGTGAGAAACAATCTAGAAATTATCTGGTGAAATATCTCTCTGTCATTTTGATCCAAAACTACTACTTGTCATTATTCTCTCTCTAACAAACTAAACCCGTTTTTATTTTTCATATTTACCCAGGTTTTCCCACGTTCGTTATTTCTAATAATTATTAATACAATATTTCATTGTCAAGATAAATAATTAGACATCTTAATTTTACTGACCTAGTTTAATCCAGGTGTTATCCATTAGATTGAGGTTTATTGTCTCATCAATTTTATATTATGACATTCCACTTGTGGCTTTTAGGTGTGATTTACCTTTTTTGGAGTTAAATCTACTTCACTCTCATTCTATATACTTATATTATTTTACCAATCTTGTTTGACTATTAATAAAAATGACATCTCTGAAATCTACTCTACATGCTCTGATTGTACCACAACTGAACCTGGAAATGACAGAATTTTGTGAGTCTTCATAGGATGTTGAAAAGCATTGAGCTGTAATAATAATTGTCAGTTTATAGATTGTGGTTTTAGATTCAAAATTGGCTTGATAAGTTAGTAATATAATCATGTTTGAAGTCTCAAGTTGTCTGTAACCAGTCTTCAACTGAGAAAAGTTTTAATTTCTTGATTTGAGTTTGTTTTCATCGTCTTCTGTCTGTATTCCCACAGCCCAGGTTTAAAACAAGCCGATCATTTCTGCTTCATTAAACTATTAATAACACTGTGTGAACACTCTAGTGTTATTAACGCCCTATGAACACTGTGTAATGCCTAACAGGATTTCAGTGAGTTCTGGTGATGGTTGTTTGGTTGACCTGATGTCTAATCACACCAGATGGCTAACATTCTAATAATCATTAATAATTTCTATATGTTAGTTATTTTAATACACAGCAATAATTATATTCATAAATTATAATTTAGTTTATTTAACTTTGAAATAAATTTCTTGATAATTTGAATATTACAATCTCTGAATCTTGAATACCAAATAATCATTATTAGCTATGTGAACTCTCTGAAAGAGTTTTTGAGTGACTCAGATATATAAGATGAAATAGAAGTAAAAGAAAGTCCTGCATCACTAGCCATTCTGATCAAAATTTAAGTTTCAGAATCTAATAATTTAGATTTGAACATGGAATTAATTGTCTCACTGTATATTTAAGATATTTTGATATTCGATTATTATAAAACTGAAGGTATTAGAATTGTAACCAGACTTGATAAAATTCAGAGTTTTTATTTCTCTGTCACGTATATCTATATATAAAACAATTTAAATTTGATATGACTATATTATCTTATCTTATAAACTTATAATTTTTAATTAATCTATTAATTAGCTGGTTAATTGATATTCTTAATTACATTATCATAAACAACCTGGTGGAGGTGATTAGTTGATATTAGAAATTAATTTCAAATACACCGGCTGTGGCATTTAGCTTTTGTCTTGAGAAATTGCTGTGTTTTCACCTCCTTTACTCTGAGAGCAACATTCTAACTTTTTGTCCTGATCAGGATTCAATATCAGAAATGCTTGACCTCAGTCCTATATCTAACTCTGTTTTGTGGATCTGAAGCTGTCTTGATAGTTAGCGCATCTCAGACTTGACTATACATTTCTTCAGACCTTGGCCAGTGCTTTTTGTTTTATTATGAGTTATATTCTCATTTCACGTCTAGTGACAATTTCTCATACCTTAAAATTGCTTCAGACTTGACAATATTTGACAATTTTTAACAATCATATTGATGTGGACCATGCAAATTTTAATTTTTTATTCAAGATCAAACATTTTATAAAAATAATTTAAGAAATGATAAAAATGAGAGAGAGATTTCAGGACAATCAACAATAAAACGTGGTCAAATTCATATTTAAAAAATACAGAACAAATATCATGTGGACTTTTCAACAATATCTGTTGACTTTGGTAGAAATTTTGTGATTTTTTTGGTAAAAGATATGAAATTGTAAAAATAGTAATATTGACAATGTAAAAGTGTCACAGTGCTGTTGATTGTTTTCACAGATTTTATCTTTAATATCACAGACACATTCTTGTTTTATTTTAAAAACTTTTCAATCTGAACTCAGTCTCTCATCATTTTATATTGAATATCAAGTTTTTAAAATCATTTTTTATACTGATTTCAACAATGTTATTGATTATTGTGTTGATGTTTTACAATTTCATCAGCGGAATGTTTTAACTTTAAGGACCTGGAACCCAATGGACCCAATAAAATCCAGCCACATTCTCTTGGCATTGATCTTTCTCTGATTGCCAGTGCTAATAGGCGTATCAGTGAATTTCTATATTTAGTCGAGTTGCTTGACGATTTGAAGATGACAGCTGGAGGTCAAGGGTCAGAGTTAAAGTTAATTATAGAATAAAGAAAATAATTATGGCTATAACTTGTAGAGATATAATAATATCGATGTTAACACGATGGTGGTGAAAGGGTCGCGATATTCTGATTGAATTTATTGGATGATAATCGGCTTGTAATTTGATTAGGTATGATGTGGACTATACAGTGTGACTTGGACTGTCGTGAAGTGTTGCCAACACTGATCTAATTCTTAGCTTGACTGAATCCAGTTCTGACATTATTACCGTACTTCCTCTGTTAATACCGCTCTGACGTGATAGCTGTCTCATTATAACTAAGAGTCCCATTCAAACAGCGTATTGGAATGACTAAGGTAAAGATGTATAGCTAGAAAAAAATGTTACAACTTGAGATATTGGAATTTAAAAGTTATTAATTATTAGTTATTAGTTCTTGCACAAAAAAAAACAACATGTAATATCTATATGATAAAAAATATACCATTACATTAACAATTCTAGCTCTTCTTCACTAAGAAATAACTGTATTATTAGAGTAACTACGGTAGAGAAATGAAATTATAGTTTGAAGAGATGATCTAAGTGTTTGGCTGGAGATTTTCTAGGGTCAGCGAATAATTTGTCGTGAAAATTATGATTAGAGATGAAATAGAGTTTAATATGGTATGTGAAGAGGTTAGAAGACAGAGTAAAAGTTCGTTGTTAATTAAGAGCTGTATAAGAAAAGACGAGATGAAATTTCCCTGTAATTAATATTTTATTCTTCAAATTTTCGACGTGTTTCTTTCCACTGTTTAATGAGTCAAGATTTCTTCATTCTTTTGTCTTTCGTTTATAATTTTATCACCTTAAGAAAGCTTTATTTCAATTCAAAATGAATTATTTTTGTTACTAAGAATTTCTACCCTCAACCTCTTCATTCAACCTACATTTTCCTAGCTGTATGATAACATTAACACTCTTAATTACACAACAACAAAACAGTAGGAATTAAAACTCAGTTTCATTTTATAATCAGAAGTTGTTACTATGTGTTACAATGTTGTAATCAGGGATAATAACAAATAAACAATATATTAATAACATAAACAAATAGATGAATTATTGTTGATCTTCTTAATAGAGATCAGTAAACAAATTATACTTGTAAACAACGTCTTGTCAACAACTCTATTGTTCAGTATATTATAAATACGTAAACACAAACACAGAAATATTCCTTCTGAATAATAGAATTTTTTTAGGTGGATGTAGAATATCTTATAGATAGTATGCAGTGCTTCAAAATTTCACTCATTACACACTGCATGGCGTTGCCCGTCCTCACTAGCCAAATCAGGTGCAGAAATAGTAAACCTAAGTACTAATGATAGCAAAAAACCTGAAATCCATAATAGTAGGATGTAATACTCCATTCATTTCATTTTATATAGAATAAACATGAATTATTTGAGTGTTAGGTAAGTTTAAAACTTGATATACTACCAACAGAACATCTAGAATAGAAAGAGACCTGATATCCAAGATTGAACAATGACAGTTTGTATGAGGTCTCTGGAGAATAGAGACTAAAAGAAAGGTCAGAATGAACGTCAAAATTAACGAGAATCCTGACCCAAGTTCGTTAATCATCTTTTATTAGTGGATAACAATAGAAACAATTTAGTTATTATTAGCTACTGAAAGCTGGATTGAGGGAGGGTAAGGGTGAGAGGGGGGAAGGGTTTGTTAGATGCTGGAGCAAGGAATAGGTTTTGGGGCAGGGCTGAAAGTAGGGGAAAAGAAACTGATATTTTTTTTGATTAATTTATACTGGTGTAAAAGTGAGAGTATATAATATAAATATTAAAATCACTATAGATCAAGAATAATAATATAATATTTGAATTAGAAATTATTGTAAGAATAAAGTTTAATAATGGTAATTACTGGTAGGTTGTACAACCTGGTTCTATCATTGATTATCCTAACATTTTACAATCAACTGATCAGCAAATTACTAATTTGTCATTTCATCAGAAATGTCAGGTACTTGTCATTATTACAATAAATTTTTAATTTCCCTGCATTTGTATATGAATCAGTTGAAATCGGACAAAATCAAAGAGAAAAACGATTTATAAATGTTATCAATTCTTAGATCAAATCATTTGAAAATATCACTTAATGTTAATAATCAGAACGATTCATTTTTATACAAAATATTCCTTTTGATACCTTTATAATAATTCTGATAAAAACACATTTCATTATCGAGGAAAATTAATAAATTTCTATAATTTTATCATAAAGGTTCATCACAGACTAGGGATAGGAAGTAATGGAATATAATTATCATTTAGATACAGATACAAACTCATGATGGTGAATTATTACTAGTATTTTACATCATATTCATACATTGTACAACACTGTAGATCACTGCTTTATTGTACAACATAGTATATCATTGTAGAACATTATAGACCAATGTACAACACTTTACAACATAGTAGAATACTGTGCAATATTGTACAACCTGTTACAACATTGTACAACATTGTACAACATAGTAGATCATTGTGAAACATTACATAGACCAATCTACAACACTTTACAACATGGTAGAATACTGTACAACACTATACAATATTGTACAACATTTTACTAACATGTACAAGATTGTATATCATTGTATAACAATGAATGAAAATGTCTACTCCTGTGACTATTTTTGGCCAATATTTTTGCAGATGATAGTTTAATATAAAATTACTGTACATCAATAAAAACAACATATTAAAACAATTATAAATAATATTTACAAGTGTATTGTTTTTATAAATAATATTTTAATGTCAGAAGTATTCTCTGGCGAGTTTCTCAGTTATTATCAAATATTTATAACTCATTTTTATTTTGTTACAATTCAATAATTTCATCATCAATTTGTGTTTTTTTTCTGTATTTGATGAAATGATTAGTCAAGCTCAATAATAATTCATCTTTCTTTCTCTCACTTTTTATAAAGACTGTTTCTTGTCAAGATATTTCTGCCTACTGGGCAACTCTCAAACAAAGGCTAGAAGATTATTGAGATGCATTTATCACTATCCACTTGAAGTTGTCGATGAAACGCGATGACGAGCTAGGAGTTGACCCTGATGTTTGAATCAAAGTGAATTATTCCAACTGATTAGTTATTCAAATTAATCTCTTTGTATTCGGATAATTCACCAATATTACAACAATAATAATACACACTTGGCCTCGGGGCAATATCATCAATAACTCATAGTTAGAGAGGTTAATATCATTGATATACCACAGTTATAGAGGGCAATATCAATGATATACCATAGTTATACAGGGTAATATCATTGATATACCATAGTTATACACAGTAATATCATTGATATACCATGAAATGTTTTCTTCTGAACATTCTTTAGAAACAATCCTACACCAAAAAAACCCCAAAACTTTTAAAAATCTTGATTTATAATTAATTTCTATAGTACAGAACTTTGCTAAAATATGAAATGTCCTAAACATTATTTAATATAGTGAGTTGAATATAAACACTAGGTTATAAATAATATAATATTAACACCAATTACTGTTCACAATTCATCTCATGTTATCTTTCTCTCTCCTTTTATCTCAGTATTTATCATTGTCATTGTATATTCATATTTAATAATATTGATCAATCAAAACCATTGACCCTTGACCTATTGATTGACTTCGCTGATCCTTGAACAATTGTCAGGAACTGTGTCAGACCTCGAGGCCAATTGCAGGAACTGAAATTGTTTCTAGATATTGGAAATTTTGTCAATGAAAAACTTGTACATGAGTCAGATTTAATAAAGAAAATTAGTTCTTATTTTGACAATTGGAATTATATTGGTCTATTGGATAGTGACAGAGTATATTCACTCTTCTAGAACACTTCATTCTAGACTGGCAGCCAACTTTTAGTCCTACAGAGACATTTGATGACTTTCAATATCCCTTATATTCTCTAGTGTGGCTTATGTTTAAATGTGCTTTTATTAGATTATCAAGCCTTTTCCCTAATCCCCAGCCTAGGTCATCAAGTCCTTTTCCTAATCCTTTAGGCTAGAACATCAAGTTACTCTTTTTGAAAAAAGCCTGAACATACTGTGGAGAATATTTGTAAGAGAATTATAAATTATGGATGGTATCGTTTGTAATCAAATCTTTTGTCATGTTGAATAAAGTTATGTACAAATGGGTAACGAGTCTCGAAGGAGAGTTTGTTTCTCTCAGCCCGCGTCTCGCGTGTCGTCAGCGACGTTAAAAAATGAAATATGAAATAATAACGATTATAAATCATTTTTTATTGAGATGAAAAGTTTTTGAAATTCTCCATATTTAGTATTGAATATTGGTCTCCACGGTGATTTGGAATTATTAAATCAAAGCTATTAATCAAATTGAAAGAAAGATAAAATTGACAGCTTTGGAAAATTTTTGACGTTTTTTGGGCATAAATCTTTCGGTTGCAGACAGACCTAGAAACTCGCGAGTTTAGGAAAAGTGTTTTTCATCATTAAATGACTCCCCTGATGATTTTTTCTCCCTACGTTCTGTTTTTTGTGTTTCAAATATGATATAATATTTCTGATTTCCCAAGATAGTTTAATTCTCTAGTCCGTCTGATGTGTCGAAAAATTATTTATTCTCAATGCAGACAATGTTTTACAGAAATTTAACTCTTAAAAAGATTTTTAAAAATTTTTGAATTGTTGAAATTATCTTGGGACCAGTAAAACTTTTAATGATTTTAGTTTTTTAATGTAATTTTGATGAAATCAGGAGATTAAAATATATTATATATTGTTTTGAGTACATTATAAAATAATCAGTTTTAAATGTTTTCATTTCAATTATTCTGGAATATTTCCCCAATTTTTTGAAGAATCTGCACAAATTAAAACAATTTCATAGGTCACTGTTTTCATTTGTAGCTTTTCTCCAAGTTACTAAACACAGTTTGAAAATCTGTAAAATATATTTAAAAGTCATCTGTTTGTATTTTTCAGAATCAATAGAGAAAGAAGAGGAGACAATCCCGTCTCCAACTGGCGATACTCAACCTCATATCTGTGAATTTTGCCATGATGAATTCTGGCAACTCGATGAATATATGGAACATAAAGAACTATGTATAAATAACGCTAAACGACGGAGGATTATGTTTGATTCGAACTCTGTTGATGGTAGTGTAACCAACGGTGATATCAGTGAACCAATCAGATCACAGAGTGTCAGTGATGGTGAGGAAGAGTTGTCTCCCGAAGAAGATGAAGGCATATATCCAGAGGAATTTTCCCGCCACGCTCATTTAAACGGAGATTACACACACGAAAACAAAATGGAGGATTTATCAGATGATGAAGATGAATTAAAAGAAGATGATAAAGAAAATAAAATAACTGACGAGTCGAAAGTTGCAATGGCCGCCCAACTACCTCAATTAATGTCGTTAGCCAATATGGCGAACATGGCGAATATCTTACCTACATCCAATGTGAAACTGGAACCTATGTCTGGCACTAAGGCTGCCGTGGCCCAGTTTGCTGAAAACAATAACCTAATGCCCAATGATATGGCTGTATTACAAGCTACGCTGTTTACTCTTCAACAACAACAAATAGTTCAATTACAGTTGATTCAACAGTTACAGAATCAAATCGTTACAAAGACTGATGAAGATGAGGAAGAGGAAGAGGAAGGAGACGAGGATCTCGAACAAAATAACGAAGATGCCAAAAGTGAAACGAAAAGCGAAACATCAAAACCACCTTCTCCCGTTGTGGACTCCATTTCAGACTCTAATCTCAGTTCCAAAATATTCACCGAGGACAAATTAGTGAAAAGCGAGAGTGAAAAACCTTCACCCGATTCTATGAACCCTTCAGAGGGAAAATATATCAACAGTTTAGCTGCTATGAATAATATGACATATAACTCACTCCCGAAAGAAACCCCAGTTCAACGAGGAAGCATCCTACCCCCTCATTTATTGTCTATACCCCCTGATGATGGTTACGCTCAGAGAGGAACAGGTATGTGTTTTTTTTTATTTTTGTGTGCATGCACCTGCATTTTTCACTTCTTATTTAAACATTTCATTGTCCCCCTCCCCTCTCCCTCAAATTTCAATATTTCATTTATACATACAGATACATTGCATTCCCCCTCCTGTACAAATAGTGTATGAAATTTTAATGATATACCACACACATGAAATGCACATACATAACACATCAATCTATAAATAGCATCACTTAATAACTGGACAGACTTTCTATCAAAGACACTTTGACTTTCAAAGTAAAATATTTCAAATTGTTCCTAAATAAACACGAGTTAAAATCATGGTGTGCAAACCACACGAAATGTCATTTATGAACCAACATAAACAGTTCTGTGTGGACTATTAAAATACACAAACTAAACAGAGAAATGTGATCAGACGCGAGAAGAATACGGGGGGAAATATTGAGAGGTCAATATTCAAGTTAATCTCACAGTTGGTCTGAAATTATAAACTGTCCTTCAAAATTTGTGTGCGAAAAAGTCAATGAGGATTAAGCATTTTAAAATTTCTTCAACTTTAAGATGTAATTTTAAAAATATAATTACTAGAAATTTGAAAATTTTACAGTTTATAAAGTTGGTCTGAATACAATATACAATGTAGGTTTTGAATTTCTGAGTTTTTTCTGTCAAAATTTACAGTCATGATGTTGGTTAGCTTACTGTATTTAGATCTCTCTAATATTTTGCTAAAAATAACCATACAGTCTGCCATGAGGCAGATTAAACCTACCCATAATCCCCCACTGATTACTCCTAGCATTCTCTGATCCTTTCTTCAACAGTTGTCAAAGTTTACTCGTGTCTTAAGTTATTATATTTAATTCTTATTCAACGTTTTCCTTTTCATTATTCAAACATATAATCATTAGCCGAGAATTTACAGAGGTCAGTTGGGGTCAGTGGTAAGGCTAAAACAAAGATAAAGTTAATTTTACTCTACGTTTGATCTTTGTAAAAAGAAAGTCTTTTTGATCTGAATATTGTTTTCCAATTTATCTGTGGACTGAATTTAGAATGATTTTACTGCAATATTGAGATGAAATGTTTGAAAATTTGATTGCTTTGAAATCAGTTAAAAAGATATATTGTTATGGAATTTATTTCTTAATGTTTATTAGATCATTCAAAAATATATATTATTGTACTCTAATATAGCTATAATATGTCTCAGAAACTTGTTCATTTTGTTAGTTAGGACTTTAAATCTGTTTTCTCCCCAAGGTTGTGAATATATATTTTAATATGAGGCAATACGATAATCTGTTGGTATAATATCGTGTAATATCCAGAAATAAAGATGTAAAGAAAAATGATCAAGCGTCTGGTAGTGGTATTTAAATCACCATCTTTCGGCCAAATTACACGTTAAAAATTCAACATCTCTATTTAGAGGAAATAGTCAGACAATCACAGCGACCAGACGCCATAAAAAACACAGAAATTAGAATATAAATCTAAAATAAACCCAATATTCCTAGTCTTAACCTTTCATTCTACGTTTCTTTATGACTGTGGACAAAATTTCACCACGTTTATAACATGATTTCGTGTAGTAAATTTGATATAACTTCAGCCATTTTGAAATAAGCCTCGTATCATATTATCCAGAAGCTAATAAATAAATACAAATTGTATCATTGACTTCAGTCACATTCATATACATCAACCTAGTTATTAAGGACAGTTGGTCTTTATACAAGGTTATACAGTATATGGATTGTATCATTTAGACTTCAACCTTATTTATATAATCAGACTTGTTATTAAGGACAGTTGGTCTTTATACAAGGTTATACAGTATATGGATTGTATCATTTAGACTTCAACCTTATTTATATAATCAGACTTGTTATTAAGGACAGATGGTCTTTATACAAGGTTATACAGTATATGGATTGTATCATTTAGACTTCAACCTTATTTATATAATCAGACTTGTTATTAAGGACAGTTGGTCTTTATAACAAGGTGCACTGTATCGAAATTGTGTAATCATGAACTGTATAATGACATGCAAATAATGATTTAATATATTCTATTGTTGCTATAAATAGAAACTATTGTGTGCGCAAGTGTTTATTCTAAAAAGGAAATCTCACAAATATAAATTCATATTTCAAGTGAAAACAGACAATATCGTTTTATTTTGGTATTTATTTTTAGGGAGTGTGGTCAGGAATATCAATGAGTTATGTCCCCTTGTGATTCAATCTTTGTAATTTGAATTGTTATAAGTTTATATCAGTATCGCTATAATAATATTCACGTGGGTGGGGAGATTATAATTAGAATAAAATTTGAGTTAAAATATGACATTTTAGTTGAGTTTGGTTGTTTATATTGAGATATATTGTTATATTTTACTCCAGTGAGAAGTGTTGAATTATTTAGCTAAGGTGGGGACACGATATGACAACTTCAACTCCTGAAATACACTTATATTCTGTCTGAATTATTTACTTATATTGTTCAACTTTTGGTCAAAAGTTCAAAATGTCCTAATGATTGTTAAAGTTGTAAAAATTACCGCAAAAATTCACCCATGAATGGATCAAAAATTTGCATATTGAGGCTGGTTGTGTTGAAGCTCATTCATAAAATATTGGGTTACGTTAAATTTCACGTGTAAAATTACTGAATGACTCAAATTAATGAATGGGACTGACAGGGTTTACTTACTCCAAGGCACCAACATAGTATTTAGTCAGTTTTAGCTTGGATAAAAAGGATATTACACCAACTTTAACTTTTAAAGAAAATTTACTTACTTTTGAAACAACAAAATATACTTTCGTTAGTTTTAGATCAATATTTGATAAGATATCTATAAGATCTGAAATATATCATTCATTTGATATTGATGTTCATATTTATCATGACAGAGTTATTGCCCTTGTTTAAATATAATCAGAATGATAATCATCAGTTGATGTAAAAACAATTTAGACTTGTCATATTAGTATAGAAAATAGAACCTTGAGTTTGACACAACCACATTTATATGTCTTGTCTAAACAGACTAACACACGGAAACACAATAATAATTGTGTGAAAAGGAGAATTTTGTATTATTTGTTTGACTCAATATGATTTTGACTGCTCGGACTATTTACTCTTCGGGATGTGTGTTGGTTTAACGGTGTATGAATACGCCCGAATATTGTATTAATGTTCTCGTTGATTATTTGACAAGTCAACAGAAGTCAAATAAGTCGAATGATTATTCGCGATAGTTAATATAATTTAACCAACGTTAATATGATACTAACTTTCTCTAAATCAACATATTTTATTTTATAAACAGTTTTCACTTATTGGTTTTATATTTTCGGTCATCTGATGGACAGGGTGGTGTGGGTGAATTGGATAGAATTGTGTCTGCTGAATTCAAGTTCCCATCCAGGCTCAATCTAATGTCTGTAATAAGTTATATTCCTGGTATATTGTCACTGATATTTCAAACTATGTATAAAATATTAAGATGTTATAATATTCTGAATATAAAAAACACAGATATAAATAAATAAAAATCACACGATAGTTTCTGAATCAGCCTGTGAGGAAATCGAAGAAAAACAATTTAGGAAGGGAAATCAATGATGATGTTTGAAGACTAAATCTTGATATTTAAATATTTGTCCTAACTTGGATGACAGTCAACATGGTGAAGTAATAACTTCTGGATTCTAAGATTTCTCTGAATTCCACATTTTGGACATTTTGTGTATTTGTCATAAATTGTTTCATAGTGTTTTATTTGTTCACATTTGATAGAAATCATAGAAAATTGTAGAATCAATACAAGAAATGAAGAAATTATTTCAGTATTTTATGATTTGAGGAAGGGAAGGTGTTATGAAGATCATACTGAAAAATTAACTGTTAAAGAAATAGGATTGGTCACCCAGATGTATGCAAACTAGCATCACTCAGACCAGTAGACTAGTTCAACAAGGGTCAGTCAGACTGGTAGTCTAGATCAACAAGGGTCAGTCAGACCAGTAGACTAGTTCAACAAGGGTCAGTCAGACCGGTAGTTAGATCAACAAGGGTCAGTCAGACTGGTAGTCTAGATTACCTAGGGTCAGTCAGACTGGTAGTCTAGATTACCTAGGGTCACTCAGACCAGTAGACTAGTTCAACTAGGGTCAGTCAGACCGGTAGTTAGATCAACAAGGGTCAGTCAGACTGGTAGTCTAGATCAACAAGGGTCAGTCAGACTGGTAGTCTAGATTACCTAGGGTCAGTCAGACCAGTAGACTAGATCAACAAGGGTCAGTCAGATCGGTAGACTAGATCAACTACGGTCGGTCAGACTGGTAGTCTAGATTATTAAGTTGTTATTATAAATAAAGAATAAAAACAGAGTTTGGTGTCGGGTCAAGACATTGTCAATATCTACGTCTGATTTCTCGTTTCCTGAATCACTTCACGCCAGCAGCCATTGTTATTTTTAACGGCAACTTTATCATTTATCGTTGGGACGATGTTGATATCTTTAAACGATTATTCTATATTATTAACATATTTTAGTTGGACTGATATTTAACATCCTGTAGCCAGAATATAACCATTCTTTACACTATTTGATCTTCAGAAAGAAAAATATTTTAAATACAAAGATAAAGATTGATGTATCAAAGCTGGACATGGACATGATTTAGAGACTTTACAGAACATCCATTAAATATTAAAGGCAAAATTTAGAAAATTGAAAAATAAAAAAGCTTGGTAAATTATGTTTTAAATGAATATATTTTTAAATCTGTGAAGAATATATCCATTCAATGCTTTTGTCTTTTTTTATATTTAGTCCGTAGAAACAAAGTAGTCATTGTTTCTTTGGAATTGGTTTCCACAGTGGCCTTCTTTCTCTCTCAGTCCAGTTAGACCCAACTTTAAAAATAATTACATAAAACTAAAACATGTTTATTATACCCTTTTGAAACTATGATCTGAGAAAAATACTTTAAACTTTTGACAATATGCTTTAGGTTAGGTTTTAAAGAAATAAGTTTTCTATTGCAGAATATGTTTTTTGAAAAGATTTGGAAATGATTTAAGTTTTGTATTTAAAAGAAATAATAGAGTAAAATGAAAGAATCATATTATTTATTTTGAAAATGTGGGGTAGATTTAGAGTGGAGTTAATATTTTGGTATTATTGTAAAATGTTAAAAAGAAATAGTAAACTCAACGTGCAATACCATATTACTCAATTTTACCACACATGTGTTGCTTCCACGACTTGAGTTTCCTCAAATTGTTATATTTCATTTTTTTAACGCATTTTTCACGCTTTGTTCAAAATTTTTGAAATATTTTCATGATATTGAAATCGTTTGTTTATGTTTTTCAAGAATTTGGGTTAAAAATGACATGTTTTTTATGTGAGGTATATTTTAATGAAGATCTGATGTTTTATAATATCTCATATTTTCCATGTGTTATATTTAATATTACACAGCACTTTTACATTATAACTGAGATTTAATATTACACGGCACTTTTACATTATAACTGAGATTTAATATTACGCGGCACTTTAACATTATAACTGAGATTTAATATTACACGGCACTTTTACATTACAACTGAGATTTAATATTACACGCACTTTTACATTATAACTGAGATTTAATATTACACGGCACTTTTACATTATAACTGAGATTTAATATTACACGGCACTTTTACATTATAACTGAGATTTAATATTTCAGGCACTTTTACATTATAACTGAGATTTAATATTACACGGCACTTTTACATTATAACTGAGATTTAAGATTACACGGCACTTTTACATTATAACTGAGATTTAATATTACACGGCACTTTTACATTACAACTGAGATTTAATATTACACGGCACTTTTACATTATAACTGAGATTTAATATTACACGGCACTTTTACATTATAACTGAGATTTAATATTTCAGGCACTTTAACATTATAACTGAGATTTAATACTACACGGCACTTTTACATTACATTATAACTGAGATTTTAAGGTGAAGATTACCAGGACTCTCTGACAAACCTAAATTCCAAATAAATCTATCTGAACTCTCTGAAAGGGATGTTGAAGAGAAAAATCTGAATAATTAAACCTCATGGTGATATATTAGGACTCTCTGAAAGGGATGCTGAGTTGATAAACTCAATGGAAGCAGAAGGGTAAGCATATCAAGCCTTGAAAAACCCAATTGAAATGGGAAAGTGTCATATTTGGTTGCCTTGGTGGAAACAGTTTTATCCTGATGATTTGGTTCTGATATTGTTTTGAATAAGTTTGATATCTTTCCCCCACTATATTAATATCAATTCCTAACCTTTTAATATTTCTCTGTATTCATATTTTATCTAGTATCAGATGGTTTATATCAGAAACTCAGGTTGATATTTTAATATTACCCGGGCAACTTGACTTGTATTTTCTTACACTGGGTCAGATGATGTCATATTATGATCTAACATAACTTTTGGTTTATTTGCATGATTTTGTCATTTCTGTTCATTGGATTGTCCCTTTCTCTCATTTATGGCTGTTTATTAGCACTATTTTGCCCAAAGAGTTTTGAGGATATTCTTTTTTAACCTGCTTTATAATATATTTTAAGCTGAAAAGCAAATTTAGCCAATTCTAGATCATCAGCACTTTAACCCAGATGACATTGTTTTTCGTTTTAAACCAAATTGTTATGATTAATGTTGAAGGTGTAAATTAATTGGCAAGATTTCGTGTAAAATCATATGAATATAGACTTTATATTTGATTGTTTCTTAGATTTAACTGATAAAAATAGATTTCACATGTTTTTATAAAAAATAAAACTATTTTAATAGAGATAATCAAACTTTTATATTCTAATATTCTAGTAATTAGTTTTAATGGTTGTAGGGTAAGAAGGGGATGAGGAGGGGACAGGAACAGTCTAGGGTGTTTCTATCAGTATAAACACACCACCCTGTCTATGTATTATCTAATATTACCAATGATAACCAGGAGTAAGAAAGATACAACTTGATACAAAGTATAATAATATGAAAACAATCAAATCTTCCTAGGGACTGGAAGTTATAATATCACATTTTTCACCGGTCGTAGTTTATAAACAATATAATATATCATATCTAGAATGTCAAGATTTCGCCAAAACCAACATTTTATTATTATATAAATATGACGGTAAGATTGAAAACATTAGCTGAAA